CAACATTAATGGTTCTCGCCCTCCCTCCCTCTCCTTTCCTTTGTCTAGAATCAAGGAAAAATGTATACTCATGTGAGGATTGAAAAAAATAACTACATGAAATAAAATACGTTGTTGTTAAGAAATTCAAATCATCACCTGAGCCTTCACTGAGTTCCAATCTTTATGCAGGTGAAGGGCCTTGCCTTTATGATGATGAAAACCCCTGATATGTGAAGCTCAATAAAGCACATCACAAAAGCGTGTTATGCTTGACTAGGGAATCTGGGAAATTTTACTAAACAAATGACCTCGTGACACCATCATATATATGATAAATATAATACAAGAATGCAGGACAAACTTCAAATACAAAATAAGATGCGCCCTGGCCAGCTTGGCTCGGCCTGCAGACCACTGACTCCCGGGTTTCACTGAGGCCAAGGGCACATACCTCAGTTGAGATTTTTCCTGAGCCCAGCTCAGGGTTGTGGGAGAGGTAATCAGTCGCTGTGTCCCTCTCATGTTGATGTTTCTCTCTCTCTCTCTCTCTCATTAGGTGAAGATAAATAGAAAAATATTCTCAGATGAGGCTTGAAAAATAAGATACATAATATAAAAATAAAATGGGAGTCTATGTATTTATAACTCAGATATCAACTAAGAAAAATAAATTTTTGCCTGGCCGCAGTGGCTCAGTGATTGAGCATCAAGCCATGTACCAAGAGGTTGCAGGTTAGATTCCAGGTCAGGGCCCATGCCCAGGTTGTGGGACAAATACACCATGTGAGGCATGCAGGAGGCAGCCAATCAATGTTCTCTCTCATCCATGTTTCTATCTCTCTCACCCTCTCCCTTCCTCTTTCTCATCAGTTTTAAAAAAAGTTTTTAAAAAGTGAAATGAACTTTTGCAAAAGTGAGAATTCTAACAAAGTTATTGGGATTTTCTTAAATTCAAAAGGTGATCGTGATTATCATGAGAAAAGAGAACTTGTGAGATTCAGACAATGAAAGTTTTATAGGTGAACCACAGAATTTATATGGGTGTATGCATAACCAATGGACATAGACAACAAAGCTGGGGAAGGGGTGGGGGGTATAGGGAAGAGGGTGTCAGTGGGGAAAAAAGGAGAAACATCTGTAACAAAAACAAATAATAATAATAAAAAAAAGAATTCTACCCTCCCCCCCAAAATAAAACAGTGGCAACTAGTAAAGAAAAAAATTTTATAGGTGAGATAATGATATGTATGGTATGTTCAATGCAATTAGATTAGGAACATGTAAATGAATTACATTTAGAGTAAATGAAGTACATACTCATGCTGATAGTTTACCTGTGTATAGTTCAGTATTTTTTACATGACATGCAATACTATATTTAAAAATAAATTAAGTGTATGCATACATGCAATAAAAATTTTATGAATGGTAACAAAGAACCTTTCTCCAATTAAAAAATTTAAAGCGCTTTTTTCCTCCTGTTTCTCACACTGTAGACACTGTCCAGATGTCATTATCAGACCTTTTCCAAGAAGTAGCTACAAATGAAATCTGTACTAACATGTTTTTGATTAAGGTGGGGGTTAAACTTCTCGCTGAAATTTAGTGAAAGCAAGACAAACAAAAAGAAATGCCAATAAAACATGTAAAATGAAAATAGCAAGATAGTCATGTAAAGAATTTGAGGCCAGCTGGTGTGGCTCAGTGGATTGAGCATTGTCCCATGGACTGAGAGGTTCCAGTTCAATGACCTTTTCCTGGTCAAAGCCATGCCCAGTAGGGGGCATGCAAGAGGTGACCAGTTAATGTTTCTCCTTCACATGGAAGTTTTTCTCTCCCTCTCTAAAAAATAATAAATAATAAAAAAAAATTGAAAGCTGGTCCTGCGTGGTTAGAGTGTCACCCCATGGACCAAAGAGTCTCGGGTTTGACTCTAGACAGGGATACATAGTTTGGTTGTTCTTTGGGCCTGGCCCTGGTCCAAGTCACATGAGAGGCTACCAGTTGATATGTCTCTCTCGTATTGATGTTTCTCTCTCTCCCTCCTGCCCACTCTATCTGAGGATAAATGGAAAAGTGTCCTTGAGTGACAATTAAAACAAAAAAAATAATTTGAAAGCTAACATATCAAAGTGTTAGAATTCAATGAGTGGAGTTTGAACTGTTCTTCCTACTGACCTGACACCTGCTTTGTGCTTAGGGGGCCTTACTGTGACCATCGTTATTGCTCTCTTTAAACTACAATAAATTTTTCTTATATATACTGTGTCTTAAGCCCTGGCCAGTTTGGTCAGCGATTAGATCATCAGCCTGTGGACCAGAGTCCTGGGTTCGGTTACCGCTAAGGGCATGTACCTCGGTTACGGTTTGTCCCCGGCCCTGGTTGGGGTTATGTGGGTGGCGGCCACTCGATGTGTCTCTCACATGTGGATGTTTCTCTCTCCCTCTTCCTCCCTCTCTCCCTCCCGCTTTATCTGAAAATAAATGCAAAAATGTCCTCAGGTAAGGATAAAAAAAAAAAAAAAGTGTACTGGTATTTCTCTGCTCACTAGATCTGGATGCATAACCTCATTAGTGGCCAGAGTGTGCTGGGCACTGCATTTGGGGTTTGTGTTCAAACAGATCACTTTTCAACCCAAATATCCCTGGTGTACACACAAGACTGTAGAGAAGGATGTGGGTCCAGAATATGGTCAGGGCTTAAAGGAAAAAATGGTGAGAATCGTTGTCGCATACAGCAAGTAGGAATATAGAGAACAGAATGCCTTAGGTAGTGAATCCCTTGCATGGAAAAGAGGTTAGCACTCTCCAATGAGACCTGAATTCCGTAGGACTTCAGAATCATTTAAAAAACTAGGTCCTAGAATTCACATCCAGTTGTCCCCTCTCCTCCAGGGTGAATGTCACTGCCACATGTGAACAAAACTTTGAAGAGTCCCACTGAGGCATCAAATTCACCAGAGTAGATGGACTCACAGGCCGACACCCAAAATATGGGAGAAGGTGCAAAGACCCAGCACAAATCACCTGTGTTCTGAGGGTCAAACTCCAAGCTGGGATCAAAGGAGAGCCAGACAAATACTGGCTCACTCAAAGTTCCCCTGGAGGAACTGCTGCAGCTGAAAGATGGTGGCGATTCAGTGAACACTGGAGGGCAAAGGGTAAGTGCTCTGAAATGTTAGGGAGAAAAGAGGAAAACTATGATCATCACACAGTGGAAAAGCACATTCAGATGAGCAACACTGGTGCTCACAGTGCAAGGATCCCAGTGAGGGCTTCACAACATGGGTACAGATTGTCCCTGGCTCTGGGGCCAGATTCCAGGTTGGAATCCAGCCTCTTGAATCGGGCACTTCTGTTGTGTAAACTTGGAGAACAGACTTCGCTTCTTTAATCCTGGGTGTTCCCAGCAATTTATTATTTTTACTTCCCGAGTTGTGAGAATTTTAAGTGAATGCTCAAAATGCTAACCCTGGCAAACTGTCACTGAGGAATAATGTGTCCCTTTTACTGATCCCCAGAATGCAAGGTAAGAACTTCATCGCCTGCATGTCACATTTAGCCAACTGAGACTCGGGGAACTCTATACAGTTGCCTGAACATTCCCTGGTGGGGACACCACAAGGAGCCTTCAGTACCCACAGCACCTGCCTTCCAGCAGGTGGTTGAGTGGGTTTGGAAAAACCCCATTTCTTTTTTTTTTTTTTTTGGTACGTGCCCCTAGCGGGAACCGAACCCGGGACTCTGGTCCACAGGCCGACGCTCCAACCGCTGAGCCAAACTGGCCAGGGCAAAACCCCATTTGAGGTACCCAAAATGCATAGGACCTTGGCAGTACTTAGCAGAGAGTGTTGCCTGGCCTGAGAATGTCTCTGCAGGTAGAGGCAGGAGCTGCGGACGCCCAGGAAGGCAACAGGCATGGTGGCCACAGTGCCAACGGGCACCTTAACTGCTGACCTCCTGACACAGGTCAGGGATGGAGACATATATTATACTCACTTAAAAAATATATATATATTTTTCGCCCTGGCTGGTTTGGCTCATTGGATCCTTGGCCTGCAGCAAGAGAGTCCTAGGTTAGGTTTCTGCTAGGGGCACGTGCCAAAAAAAAAAAATTTTTTTTATTTTTATTTTTAGAGAAAGAAGGGAGAGGGAGAGAGAGAGAAACATCTATGAACCCTGGCCAGTTTGGCTCAGCAGTTGGAGTGTCGGCCCACACACCAGAGGCCCTGGTTCGGCTCCCACTAAGGGCATGTACCTTGGTTACAGTGCATTCCCAGTCCCGGTTGGGGTTGTGTGGGTGGCAACCACTCGATGGGTCTCTTGAACATTGATGTTTCGCTCTCCCTCCTGCTCTATCTCAAGATAAATGCAAAAATGTCCTTGACTGAGGATAAAAGAAAACAATAGAAACATAGATTGGCTGCCTCCTGTTGCAGCCATGTGGGATTGGGCACATAACTTGTGCATGTGCCCTGACCAGAATCAAACTGGCAACCTCTCAGTGCACAGATTGAAACTCAGTCACTGAGCCACAATGGCCGGGCTATTATACCCACTTTTACAGGAGCAAAATGAGCCCCACACCCTCCCTAAGGAGGGGGTTGTTTGCCTGTGAGTCCTAATAAAATACACAAAATCGGAATTCAAATCCGGGCTGCCTGTTGCAAGACATGAAGAATCTGATCACTTCTCTCCTATTTCCCCATACTCTGAGCTTTGGAACTGCACACCACTGCTCATCCTGAGAGTCCAGACCCAACCCAAGAAGCCCTATGACAGCAGACCTTAAAAATGGGTCAACACTATTAAAGCATGGGCTTATTATGTCATCAAATTTCATGCTTGTGACAGTGATGGAGAATGTCAATAGTGTAAGTTACAAAGGTAAGTGTCCCTTACATTGTGTATGGCATAAAAAATGAAAAGATATTATTAGAACTTATTATTCCAATGAAGAACATTTATTCCATAAAGCAAAACAGTCACAGAACAAGCGAAATTCAAAAACCTTTTTATTTCACGGTCCTTAACTCAAAGAAAATTGACAACATTCATAACTTTAAGCAGAACGTGGTCTGACATTTCATGAAAATACAGTGATAGCAACTATACATTTGAACACGTGATGACTAGTATATATTCTTGTTTCAGAAAGATTGCTTAGTGGCACAAAGCTTTACCACAATAGTTGTGCCCACAAGGCCTCCATCCTGTAGGTTGTCTGATGAACACTGAATCATGACTTTATAGCAAAGGCTTTTCCCCATTCATCACATTCACAAGGTTTCTCGCCTCTGTATATTCTCTAATAGGTAATGAGATAATTTTTGATAATGAGAATTTTCCACATTTCAGTACATGCAAAGGAAGTCTTTCCAGAGCAAAATCTCTGATGTTGTGGGAGTATGCTTTCTTCCAAAAGCCTTCACGATATTCAGTGTTTGTTCAAATTTTCTGCACTAAGAGCTCCCTGATATACACCTAGATACTACTCATGGTGAAGCCCTTTCCACATGCATTGCAAATATGACTTCTCTTCATATAAACTCATAGAGATGCAATAAGCATGCTTTCCCCAATTAATCCTCAGCCACTCCTCCTGCATATAGAAATTCACCTCCTATATGAATTCTCCGCATGTACACTGAGATGACAGTTCATGGTAAGGTCTTTCCCACGTTAAATGTACATATATGGTTTCTCTTAAGTATGAGTTTGCTGATGTAAAGTGAGATCAGTCTTCATGGCAAAGCCTTTTCCACATACATTATTACATACACAGTGCTACTCACCTGTGTGTTTTCGCTGATGTGTGATGAGATGATGCTTTGCTTTGAAACTTTCCCCACATTTACCACAAATAAAAGGATTCTCAACTGTATGAGTCTGTTGATGTATAACCAGCTTGCTATTCATTGTAAAGCCTTTTCCACATTCACTGCATACAAAAGGTTTCTCTCCTGTGTGAGATCGCTGATGTACAATCAGATAGCTCTTCCTGGTGAAACCTTTCCCGCATTCACTACAGATAAAAGGTTTCTCTCCTGTATGAGTCCGTTGATGTACAGCCAGCTGTACCTTCTCTGAGAAGGCTTTTCCACATTCACTGCACACATAGGGTTTCTCTCCTGTGTGAGATCGCAGATGTTCATTCAGAGATTTCTTCACAATGAAACCTTTCCCACATTCACTACAGACAAAAGGTTTCTCTCCTGTATGAGTCCGTTGATGTAAAACCAGCTGCACCCTCACTGGGAAGCCTTTTCCACATTCGCTGCATACAAAGGGTTTCTCTCCTGTGTGTAAACGCTGATGTATAATCAAACAGCTCTTCCTTGTGAAACCTTTCCCACATTCACTACAGACATAAGGTTTCTCTCCTGTGTGAAATCGTTGATGGTCAATTAGGGATCCCTTCCTGGTAAAGTGTTTTCCACATTCATTACATATATAAGGTTTCTCTCCTGTATGAATTCGCTGATGCTCCATCAGTGATCTCTTTAAGGTGAAGTGTTTCCCACATTCATTGCACATAAATGGTTTCTCTGAAGAATGAGTTTGCTGATGTGTCATGAGATTACCTTTCACTGTGAAGCCTTTCCCACATACATTACATACATAGGGCTTCTCACCTGTGTGTTTTCGCTGATGTGTGATCAGATGAAACTTTGTATTGAAATCTTTCCCACATCTAGTACATATATACGGTTTCTCTCCTGTATGAGTACGTTGATGTAAAATCAGCCTGCTCTTCACTGGAAAGGCTTTTCCACATTCACTGCATACAAAGGGTTTCTCCCCAGTGTGAGATAGCTGATGTACATTTAGACAGCCATTACTGGTGAATCCTTTCCCACATTCACTACAGATATAAGGTTTCTCTCCTGTATGAGACCGCTGATGTATAACCAGCTGCACCTTCACTGGGAAGCCTTTTCCACATTCACTGCACACATAGGGTTTCTCTCCCGTATGAGAGAGCTGATGTATTATCAGAGAGTCCTTCCTGGTGAAACTTTTGCTGCATTCACTACAGATATATGCCTTCTCTCCTGTTTGTTTCTGCTGATGCATGGTGATGCGACCATTGTTTCTGTAACATTCACTGTAGATGCAAGGTTTCTCTCCTGAGTGGGTTTGGTGATGACAAATGAGCTGAGACTTGTTGATGAACATTTTCTCACACTCAGTGCCATTATTAGGTTTCTTACCCATTGGAGTTTTCTTATGTATATTCAATTCTAATTCCTTTAGAAAGGTCTTGTCACATTCACTACACTCAAATTGTTTTAGTCGTTCTTGAATTCTATGATGTTCGGAGAGCCAGTATTTCATGGAGAAGACTTTCCCGCACAGACTGCATCCATAAGGATTCTCCTCACTATGAAGTCTATCATGTTGAGTCAGAAGAGACATCTTGATGAAGGCCTTCCCGTACTCAGTGCATATGCGGGCTTTCTGTCCACTGTGAGTTCTCTGTTGCTGAATAACCTGTGACTTATTACTGATGTTTTTCGTACTGACAGGGAGTGTAATTTCAGGGTAACGTTGTTGGTTGCTACGAAGAATGGATGTCTGACGTTTCTCAAGATTATGACTGCACTTTAGTGGGAAATGACCTTCAATCTGATTAAAAGTATTTGCAAACGTGTTATGTTCATAGTGTTGTTCCACACTCTTCTGAATGTTTCCAATTTGCAGGTGACACTGCAGAGGATCATCATCTTGCCTGCATGCTAGGAAAGAAGAGAACAGTATTTCACCCTGTAATCTCTCCTAATCTTAGTTTGAAATAAATTTTGTTTACAAAATGCCTTTGTGTGAAGTTAACTGTTTACTGATAATATATGTTTTAAGAAAACAAATTTAATTGGTTTCTGTCCAGAGCTCTTGATACTGAACTTGCTGCACAGGGTTTCTATTCAGTCTCAGGAAGGATCCAGACACCAGAGAGACTAGCTAATTAAAAGTCTCACCTTTCAGCTCAACACACTGACCCATTGACAAAGAGGAAGGGCCTAGAGATTAAAGTCGTATAAAAACTCTTAACAAGATGTAATCCACTTCTGTGTTTTTAACAAAGGAGTTTGCCTGGTGGATGTTTTACCCGAGGTCCATGGGAACCAAACCTCCTATATCGAAAAATTTTTCAGACCTCAGCCTATGTAATTATTAATTTGTATTTTTATAATATCCTTCAAAAAAACTAGTAAACATAAGTGTTTCTCTGAGTACTGTGAGCTACTTTAAAAAGTAAAAAAAAATTTGTTTTGCTTATTGATTTTATAGAGAGAGGATGGGAAAGGGAGAGGTAGAAACACTGATGAGGGAGAACACAGACTGTCCTCCTCTAGCATGTCCCCCATTGGGTATTTAGCCCAGAACCAGGGCATGTGCCCTGACTGGGATTTGATCTGGCAACCTCTTGCTGCATGTGCCGATGCTGGACCACTGAGCCCCACTGGCCCAGCTTAACTGTAGATAGTTAGAAGACTTCACTTGATTAGGTTAGAAAATTTGGACCCTTTTAGGTCACATCTGGATTCTTTCCTGGACTACTTATGATAATTCTTTAAATTTTTTATTTTTTTGGTACGTGCTCCTAGCAGGAACCGAACCTGGGACTCTCTGGTCCATAGGCCAACGCTCCAACTGCTGAGCCAAACCAGCCAGGGGTACTTTCATAATTTTAATCTCCATGTTTTACAGTTACAAACTGTAATCATGATTATAACAGTTCACTCCCCTCCCTGATAGTCACTACCTTCTACATTGTAGGCAAAGTGGGCCTTTCAAAATTAGCTAAACAAAGATGCTTTTCTGGAATGACAGCAATGTTTTCAACAGCTCAAGAAGCAATGTGTGGCCTGTTATGTCAGAATCCCCAGCTGCCACCCTACTGTCCTCACTCATTTCATGTACTTTCCCTTCTTGCTCACTTGACTCATCCAGACAAGCTTCCTGGACCTTCCTCATACAGAGTACACATTAAGCTCTTTCTACTTTCTATAGGTTCACATTTGAAAAAATCCAGTGTGCTCAAAGACACTTTATCAGACAACCATTTCCACTCCTAAAAGCACAGTTCCGGGACAAACACCCAGTATTTCATTGCTTATTTTCCTTACAGCAGTTTTTACTTTAAGATATACATTTATTATTGGTTGTACATAACATCTACTGAGAAAGAAAATAATGCAATGAGTAAGAACAAGGTTGATTCAATTTTTTTGTCCTGCTGTTACCTTCAAATATTAGCATATACTAAGGCAAGTGTAAAGACATGAAGGGATCACCTCAATTGCAGGAGGCAATCACAGATATGGACACATTAAGAAGTATGCAGGAAGAGAATGGAAACTATGTCAGCAAGACGGTAACATACCATGGCAATGACTAAAAGAGAAGCTGCAATTTCATTAGAGAGGACACCTGGTTACCTGGGACCAAATGTCATCAAATATGATGAGAAAATGATTTTAGTTTTATTATGAGAAAAAATCATCAGGACACACAATCAAGAAAAGAATTCCAAATCAATTTACAACATAATGAAAAAGAATATCATACTTAGAAATATACTTAAGAAAGAGAAGAGTAAAATTTTTATTCTGAAAGTTACAAAATGATGTTGGAAAAAAAATTAAAGACCAAGCTTGATAAAAAACACCCAATGATTCTGGATTAAGATGGATAACATGAATAAAAAGGAATGACTATACAAAGGAGAGCAATTCAATGTAATCACTATAAAAATCCAAGCATTTTAACAGAAAATCTCAAGGTATTTCTAAAATTCAAATAAAAATAAAAGAATCCAGAAGTCAAAATCATCTTCTGAAGAAAGGGAAGACTTGAAGGCCTCAGTCTTTGCAATTTCAAAACTTACTACAAAGTTATAGGAATCAAGACCATGATGAGAATACGTACATATAAAATGTTACAAAAAAGATTGTGTGGATGATTGATCAAATATACTGAGGAATATACTGAAGACCAATTAATATATAGTTTTAATGAGGAAATTGTACAGTATGTAAAATAAATGTAAGTATAAGCATAAAAAACATCACGTGAAAACAAATGTTTTAGGATAAAAAATGCAGCCATAACACCTAAGAATAAAACAAAATCTAAATTAGAAAAACTAGGAAGGAAGTCTTTGGAATCAGACATAAATAATGACTTAGTTTGACCTTGATCTCATGTAACACCGTAAGATCTTTCCTGTTCATCAAATGAACAGTATAAATATTTTATTTTTTATTTATTTTTTTATCCTCACCTGAGCCCATTTCTGCATTTATCTTCAAATAAGAGTGGGAGGGAGGGAGAGAGAGCGAGAGAAATAAATCAATGTGAGAGAGACACATCAACGGGCTTCCACCCAAACAACTCCAAATGGGGCCTGGGACAAACTGCAACCAAGGTACGTGCCCCTAGCGGGAACCGAACCTGGATCTCTCTGGCCTGCAGGCTCTAACAGCTGAGCTAAACTTGCCAGGTCAACAGTAGAAACATTTTAAAGAAAGCTCAGCATGTCGGAAACATCCCAGCTGGTGTCAGAATAGACAGGATTTTTTTTAAAGGTCTCGGGCAAGAAGAGAAAGTAAATTTTCTAAAGGATGGAAAAAAGATGATTGCTGCTCTCACACAAAAAAGGATAAGCCAGAGTCCTGGACCATGCTAAGGAGTTAAATACATGGGAAGAAATTCTACCTTAGACAATCTGGATTGAGAAGTCAATTTGGGAGTCCATTTCACAGATCAGGAAGAGGCTAACTCATGGAAATGGAGAAAACATTCAACAGTGATGAGAACTGAGTATGAAAACCTTGGGGCAGGGGGGTAAATAAAGGCACCATGAAGTGCAGATTATAACCGGGACACAGGATCCAAGGTGGGATTGAATGTTATGGAGGAAAATCATGATTTCCTAAGAAGCCAGGAAAATCCAGCAGTAAAAGAAAAGGTGATAAATTCAAACTTGTCTCTCTCCAGAGAACCTTGGAAAGTGTAATTTATAGCAAGAGAAGTGGTAATACAGGCAGAGATACTGTGAGCAAAGGTGGGGATGATCTGAGAACCCTAAAAAACAAACAAACAATATAAACAAAACACAACATGAAGATAAAATAAGCCAGGTCAGAGCTCAGAAGAGAAAAAAATGTATGTTTTCCTCTAAACGTCTACAAAGAAGAAACAGGGTTCTCATCCGGGGAGGGTGGGTCGAGTTTCCTCATTCACTGCCACCACTCTGACGCCTGCTATGACTAGAATGTGCCTTCCCGGCCGACCACCTGTTGAGTCTCTTTCACTCACCTGCACAGACTAGATGGAGCTCATCCTGTGCTCTCCATGGTTCTTCCCCTCGTTCCAACTTGGAGAGCGCATATGGTTTACTACTTTGATACCCTGCTTGAGAAAAATGACAAAAGACTCAGACATATTGAAAGGGGCTGGGGTGTGCCAAGGAGGGAGAATGAACAGGTTTCACATCTCTTAACACAAGGCCTTTTCCCTCTGGAGTAGGGACACCACACCCTCCTGCCTGGGGCAAGAGAACAATCTGAGATTCCACACTTTGAGGGGAAGGCAGTTATTCCGAACAGTTAATGAGGTGAGAACAGAGAAGCCATTAACTGGGTAAGGCTGGGTAACACAAGAAGCTGTCCTCACCCACTGACTGCAGGTGGCTGAAGTTCTCCAACATCACATCCCTATACAGGTTCTTCTGATCAGGGACCAGGAGCTGCCACTCCTCCCAGGTGAAGTCCACGGCCACATCGTGAAATGTCAGGGATTCCTGTAAAAACACCATGCTGTTTTTTGAGGGATGTCTTTCAGATGAAATGTTCATTTTTCTGCTCATTTTCTCTTTATACGCTGCACCTCTACAGAGTGGGGTTCTATTTTAATATATAGTTGAAAAGGAACACGCCTAGTAAAATGTTATTTGCAATTGTTCATGTAGACATTCATGCATTCATACAATTAGATGTCACTATAAAGTAAATAAATTAAATGTTCATGATAACCTAGAAACACCTTCTTTTTTTTTTTTAATCTTCATCCAAGGACATTTTTCCACTTTTGTTCAGATAGAGTGGGAGGAAGGGAGGGAGGGAGGGAGGGAGGGAGGAAGGAAGGGAGGGAGGGAGGGAAGGAGGGAGGGAGGGAGGGAGGAAGGATGGGAGGGAGGGAGGGAGGGGGAGGGGGGGAGGGAGGGAGGGGGAGGGGGGGAGAGAGAAACATCGACGTAAAAGGGACACATCGAATGGCTGCCTCCCACACGACCCAACTAGGGCCAGGGACAAACTGCAACCAAGGTACTTATTCTTAGCAGGAACTGAATCAGGTTTCTCTGGACATCAGGCCGACGCTCTAACTGCTGAGCCACACCGACCAGGGCTAGAAACACCTTTAATATAACCAAATTCAGACATCTGAGTGACAAAAAATATATTTGAATATTTTCTAAACAAACAAAGGTGCTATTTTATAGGCATTTACAAATGCACTATTAAGAAAAACATTGAGCCCTGGCCGGTTGCTCAGTGGTTAGAGCATCGGCCCACTGACCAATGGGTTGCAAGTTCAAATCCCGCCAAGGACATGTACCTTAGTTGCAGTTCATCCCCGATCCTGGTCGTGTTGTGTAAGAGGCTAACAGTCGGTGTGTCTCCCTCACATCAACGTTTCTCTAGCATGCGCACACTGTCTCTCTCTCTCTCTCTCCCTCCCTCCTTCCCACTCTGTTTGAGAATAGAAAAATTTCCTCGAATGAGGATTAAGAAAAAAGAGAAATTAAAAAAGAAAAAAAGAGTAAAACAAACTGAGCCCTGAACCATGTTACACAGTGGTTAGAGCGTCATCCTGAGAATTGAAGGCTTGTTGGTTCGTTTACAGGTTAAGGGTATGTACCCAGGTTGCAGTTAAGATCAGAGCCCTTGGTGGGGTGTTTGTGAGAGGTAAGCAATGAATGTATGTCTTTCCCACCGATGTTTCTCCACCTCTCTACGCCCTATGCCTCTCTCCTTCAATTCCACACTATCTAAAATTCAATGCAAAAGATATCCCCTAGTAGGATTAAAAACAAAAGAAAGTCACCTGAGCCTGGAGCATTTTCTTCTGCTCTCTGACAGGAGCTGGCAGCGGGAAAGCTCTAGCTTGCTGAGTTTCTGGCCAGCTCTAGGTTTCTGTTTAGAAATCTGTCCTCACTTAGTTTAGTCCCTGGAAATGCCAATAAGCCTCCTGGGAGGATTTCCTTGCTTCACACGATACAATTGCTTGTAGTGTCCATGTAAGAAATGTCCAAACCTGTGGAGAATTTTTATGTTTATTTGAGCCAAGCTGATGACAATTGCCAGGAAGCAAAATGACAATGGACTACATAATACTCTGGAAAATGGCAGTTTTGCAGCTTTTTTATACATTAGAATCAAAGGAGAGGACAGAGGGGATTACATGAAATTCACTGGTGATAGATTAGAGGTGGGGGGTGAGGGAAAGCAACACATGGAAATCTCTGAGATTGGATAAAAAGGAAAAAACATGACAACTACTTCTTTGAATTGGGCAGTTGCAGTACACTTAACAGTTAGTGTTTAACACAATAACAATTACAGCCCTGGCGGGTTTGGCTCAGCGGTTAGAGCGTCGACCTGCGGTCCTGAGAGACCCGGGTTCGGTTCCCGCTAAGGGCGCGTGCCTCGGTTGCAGTTTGTCCCCGGCCCTGATCGGTCCTGTGGGTGGCCGCCACTCGATGTGTTCCTTTCACATCGATGTTCCTCTCTCTCCCTCCCACTCTACCTGAACAAAAAAATGGGAAAATGTCCACGGGTGAGGATAAAAAAATAAAAAATAAATAAATAAATAACAATTACAGGCTCTGTGGTCTCCTACTGTGGTGCGAAGTTGAGCCTGAGTGGGTGGGTGGGTACATAAGAAAAATTCCCTGATAGTCTAAAATGATGCTGTCCTAGATGGAAAAAGACAATAGACAGGCTCAAGAGGGTAAAGACTGACTTTTCCTAGAATAGATACCCGGGGGGGCATGACTACCCTTGTGACTGGGTTTAGTTAGGCAGTTTTCACTTCAGATCACCCTACATGGATAATTTTGGCTTCTGCTGGTGCCAAGAAGGCACCCCTGAGCTTTGCAGGTTTGTAGAGCAAAATGGCTTTATTGCATACACCTAGGTACAGGCAGGCCGAGCAGAGAAGGGTTCAGCCTTGGATAGTAGTTGAGGTGTCGGTTACATACTCTACTTTTAGCTTTCAGCAGTTCTTGCTGATATACTCTTTCTGGTCCATTGTCCACTCTGCAGTAGGACTGGTCTGGTATCTCGTCTGGTACCTGCTGGGTAATCCATTACCTTGCAGACACTCCAGAAAACCTTTATCCGTACTCAACAGAAGGCTGAGCAAGGATCATGCAAGCAACACAATTTTCACAGTTTCCGCCTCCTGCAAACTTTTACCTTTCTCCTTTAAAACATTACTGACCCTTTCACTCAGAAAAGCACAGTAAACTGGCTAAAGGTTGTTATTCAGATATAAGTGCAGCTTACTTTAGACACTGTAGGTGGTTTTCCTAAAATGAGGAAGACACCCTTAAAGAGGACATTGTCCTCACACATGCAAATGTCCTTCTGAAGGGGTGACTTCTACCAGCTGCATGCTCCTGCCAGGGCTGTCGTTGCTTTTTAATTAACCAACCCAAATAACCAATATCCAGTCCTGGCCGTTCTTGCTCAGTAGTTACAGTGTTGGCCCACAGACCAAAGAGTTGAGGGTTTGGTCCCTGGGCTGGGGTTTTACAAGAGACAACCAACTGAAGTGTCTCTCTCACACTGATGTTTCTCTGAAGATAAATAGGAAAATATCCTTGGTTGAGGATTTAAAAGAAACACACAATATCCCAGAGAGGCATATTTTAGGGCGGGAAACTATTCTTCTGTAGATTCATGGAATTGTGCATTTATCTTTTTTTTATCCTCACCCCAGGACACTTCCCCATCTATCTATTTTTTTTCACCCTCACCCGAGGAGATTTCTCCATTTTTTGTTCAGATAGATTGGGAGGGAGAGAGAGGAAGAGAGAGAGAGAGAGAGAGAAACATCGACATAAAAGGGACACATTGAGTGGCTGCCACCCGTACGACTAACCAGGGCCAGGGGCAAACCGCAACTGAGGTACTCGCCCTTAGCAGGAACCAAACCTGGGTCTCTCTGAACCGCAGGCTGACACTCTACCTGCTGAGCCAAACAGGTTAGGGCTCCGCATTTATCCTGAGATAGATAGGGAGGGAGGGAGGGAGGGAGGGAGGGAGGGAGGGGGAGAGAAAAATCGACTTGAGAGAGACACATCTGAGAAGGCGCCACCCACACAACTCCAACCAAGGTCGGGGACAAACTACATCCGAGGCATGTGCCCTTAGTGCAGTGGTTCTCAACCTTCCTAATGCCGCGACCCTTTAATACAGTTCCTCATGCTGTATGTGGGCGACCCGCCTAGACATGGATAGAGGAGCGGTGTCTGGGTTCCTAAGACCTTCGGAAATATGTGTTTTCTGATGGTCTTAGGCGACCCTGTGAAAGGGTCATTCGACCCCCAAAAGGGTCACGACCCACAGGTTGAGAACCAGCGCCTTAGTGGGAACCAAATCGGGCCTCTCTGTTCCACATTCCACAGGTCAACACTCTAACCGCTGAGCCAAACCGGCCAGGGCTAGGAACTGTGTATTTAAAAGAACATCCTCACCCAGAAAACGTTGGTTGGGAGAACGTTACAAAATTGTAGACCAGTGGTGTCACACTGGACCTTGCATCAGCAACGTTGGTACTTGAGTTCTGGTTAAAAAAAGAATTCACAGCACAGCAGTGTAGCTCAGGAGCTGAGCATCAACCCATGCACCAAGAGGTCACTGGTTTGATTCCCGGTCAGGGCATGTGCCCAATTTGTGGCCAATCAAGGTTCTCTCTCATCAATGTTTCTCTCTCTCTCTCCCCCTCTCCCTTCCTATCTAAAATCAATAAAGAAAGAAAATTTAAATCAAACACAGTCCCAGAGGTAGAAGAAATGACAGGTAGAAGAAATGGGCTCAGGAAACAAGTTACAGAGGCAAAGGAGGGTCCTTTGATGCTTTAAGAAAACTTAGTGAGGCCCTGGCTGGTTTGGCTCAGTGGTTAGAGCGTCAGCCTGCGGTCCAGAGAGACCCGAGTTCGGTTCCCACTAAGGGCATGTACCTCAGTTGCGGTTTGTCCCTGACCCTGGTTGGGTCGTGCAGATGGCAGCCACTCGATGTGTCCCTTTCACATCGATGTTTCTCTCTCTCTCTCTTCCTCTCTCTCCTTCCTACTCTATCTGTAAAAAACAAAAAAAGAAAACAAAAAACTTAGTAAGAACATCAACAACATAATAAAGAACCAGTCAGAAATGAAGGATGCAGTAACTGAGATAAGGAAAAATTATACAGGAGCAATAGTAGAATAGGTAAAGCCAAGAAGCAAACCATCTATTTGGAATATAAGAAACCAAAAACAACCAACAGAACAGCAAAAAGTAAAAAGAACCGAAAAAATATAAGGATAGAGTAAGGAGCCTTTGGGACAACTTCAACTATACCAACATTTGCATCAGGCAGGTGACAGAGAAGAGAGAGAGCAAAAAAAATGACAGATTAACTTCCCTAAATTGGGAAAAGAAACAGACATACAAGTCCAGGAAGCACAGAGAGTCCCAAACAAGGGCAACCCCAAAGAGTTCCACACCAAGACACATCATCATCAAAATGCAAAAGGTTAAAGTCAAAGAGAGAATCTTAAAAGCAGCAAGAGAAAGCAGATGATTACCTACAAAGAAGAACCTATAAGACTGCGCCCTGGCCAGTTTGGCTCAGCGGTTAGAGCGTCGGCCTGCGGTCTGGAGAGACCCGGGTTCGGTTCCCGCTAAGGGCACGTACTTCGGTTGCAGTTTGTCCCCGGCCCTGGTTGGTCGTGCGGGTGGCAGCCACTCGATGTGTCCCTTCACGTCGATGTTTCTCTCTCTCTCTCTTTCCCTCCCACTCTATCTGTACAAAAAAAAAAAAAAAGACTGTCAGCTGACTTCTTAAAAGAACCTGCAAACCAGAAAGAAGTGGCAGGAGATATTAAAGGTGATAAAAATCAAGAACCTACAACCAGGATTACTCTATCAGGTAAAGCTATTATTTACAATCAATTGACGTATAAAGAATTACCCAGACAGTCCTGGCCCATTTGGCTCAGTGGTTAGAGCGTCAGCCTGCGGACCAGAGTCCTGAGTTCGGATTCCGGCAGGGGCACGGACCAAAAAGAATTACCCAGACAAGAAAAAGCTAAAGGAGTTCATCACCACCAAACCAGCATTATATCAAATGTTGAAGAGTCTTCTTGAAGGAGAAGAAAAAAATATGAACAATAAAATGGCAATTAATACACATCTATTAACAATTGAATCTACCAATAAAATGAGCAAGGAGAACACACACAGATACAAAGAACTGTTTGTTGCTTGCCAGATTGGGGTGAGGGAGGCCACATCTGTAATACATTGAAGAATAAAGAGTAGTTTTAAAAAAAAAGGGCCCTGGTGATGCAGGAGAGAGAGGGTAAAGGTAAGAGCCTTGGGGTGAGAAGTGGGGAAGGAGTTTCAGAACCTTATTTTCCTGGAGACTTTATGCTTAACAGCTACTATTTGGCCATCTAGTTGGTTCACTCCCTGGAGGGGTGGATCTAACACACAAGACTTCAACTTCCTAGGGGAGGAAAAGTCTGGAGAGGGTCCAAACCCAATCACCAGAGTTATGCTAAAGAAGAAAAGGTCACCCTGGGACCAGGCCCTTGTTCTTCCAGTTCTGTCCCTTTACTAACCACCCTGAGTTTTGTGTCAGGAGACCTTCTGTACCTGGCCTATTGTCCTAGCTCTAATCCTGTGGGTCTACATGCCTATTACAAACAACTCACAGATTCTACATACACAGCTGGCTAGACCTGCACCATGTCCCTCACCTCATTGCATAGTAATTCAAATGAAACCGCACAAGGAATGGGTCCGGGGCCCCTGTCATCACTTGAGCCAATGAAGCAGAGACAAGGTGGAATCCTACGAGAGCGTTTATTCCAACACTGCAGCAGTATGGGAGAGCTGTAATCCTCTCTACAACTTTCACTCAGAAATAACCAGTTTTAGAACAATTTTGTTTTTCAAAAATAAATATCTCCATAGCCTATACCTTCTATCACAAAAATTATTCAGTTTCTTTCGAACTAATTAACATTCTTTGCTGTTAGTTGTG